TTAGATCTTAGTTTAAAAACAAAATAATAAATTTCCGCCGCCCACGCACTTACTACAGGAAACAAGAAGCTTCAAATGGGAGTAATATGTAATGAATTTTATTTACGTTTATATTTATTTATTATAGCTTTAATTTAAGTCAATATTCTGCATCATATTACATTTTGCAGTTGTACAGTTGACACTTGTTATTATGACCCTCAATCATAGCAAATTGTCAGTGCAGCAAAAATTGAATTAATATACTTTCATCAATTTGAAATGCTTACACTGGTTATAAAAGAAGTGGTCATTAGTCGTCACACAGTAGCAACTGCTGTTATCTACTGGATTGAAAAATATATATGTTTTTCTCTCAACAATACAAAATTCAATTTGTTTGATCGACAATCCACCCATAAGGACCCTATCATACTGTCTAAGTTTTCTGAAAATGAACACCTTCCTTTTTCTGCATACAAAAATATTAAACTCTGCTCTCAAATACAATTTTTAAATGGTAGTTGTCAAACGAATAATTTTATTTTTCCTAAAATGAAAATTAATACATGGTTACCAAAATGATTCAATGGAGTACAAAATACATTTTGCTAAGTAAATGTTACATACAGAAGAGTAATTAATTCAAAATAAGGCAAAAATTCAGCAAGTTTTCCTCACAAATTACAAATATTTCATGCATGACCCATAGATCATACAACATACATCCAAATTATAATATAGTTTAGTTTTTAGCATGGCTCCTTAGGTCTCCTGATCTATTTATTGTGCATGTGACTTCCTCCTTTGGGAACCACAATCAGACAGACACTTTTCCATACCACAATCCTGCCACCAATAATACCAGTAAAGCTCAGGAGATGCACCAGTCAGCTATGATGACCACTGATATGAAAACATAGAGAATGCAACAAAACATAGGGATTGACATTTCTTGGATATGTATTGTATGACCAATGGAACACATAAAATATCGAGTTTTAACGAAAGTTTCAAGCCACCACAAATATCATATGTGCAAACAGTTTGCATTGGCGTGTTTAATCATATTTTGTCAAAAGGTTTTTGGCATTTGAAAGAAAGAGACTTGCACTGAGTTATGAAATTTGTAAAAAAATACCGTTATCAAGTACAAGGTGTCTGAAATAGAATTAGCACACTACCAGATTAGAAGCACCATTTACTGCCAGTTCTGTTGCAAAAAAAATCAGCTACAGAATGTCACCAGATCATGTGTACAGCTTGTAGGTACTAATGTTGTATCATACGATACTGTGAAAGTCTGATACTGAAAGTTCAAAAACAAGGACTATGACATTCAAGAAGCAGAGTGTTGTGGCTGGCCTACTTATATTCATGAGGACTGCCTGCAAGAACTTGTGAAAGAAGATCAGTATGTAGCCACTCAACAGCTTGCTAAGAAGTTAGATGTTAGTGCCATATTCATTAGTCACACTATGCATTACATAAACTTGATGTATAAGTTCAATTGCTGGGTGCTGCATGAGTTGATTCAAGCAGGTAACGACAGACATGTTAACGACTGCACTAATCTGCTTGAATATTGATGCAAGGACAAAATGCTGGACCGGATCGTCATTTGTGATGAAAAGTAGATTTACTTCAACAACAAAGGATGAAAAGGGGTTGGTCTGCACCCAGTGAGCCCATCGACAGCATCACAAAATGCTATTTGACTTACAAAAAGATCATGCTTTATATCTGATGGGACTGCCGTGGTATTATCCACAAAGAGTATCTGGAAAAAAGTAAAACTCTCAACAGTAAGGTGTACATTGAGATGCTAGTCAGTGTTGACATTGCTATCAAGGAAAACGTCAAACTGAGTTCCCACACAAGAAAGGTAATGTTTCATCAAGATAATGTAAGACCACATGTGTCTGCATTCACCAGATGGACTCTGTACAGACTTGAATGGGATCTTTTGCCACACCCAACATATAGCTCCTTCATACTTCTATCTTTTTTCACACCTACAGCTACAGCTACATCTTGCTGGTGCTGTTTTTAGACTCACTGCCACCAAGTTTCTGGACCGAAGACTTTGAAAAACTATAAAAAATTGGCAGAAAATCATACATTTGGCTGGTGATTATTACCCACACTAAAGGTACTACTTTCATGTTCATTCCTCTAACTTTATTAAGAATGTTCGGGTAGTCTATATTTTGGGCTACTGCTTGCATTATCACTAATTTGTTGTTTCATTTATCGTAAAGCTGTTGTTTCATTTATGGTAATTTGTGTATTTTATGGTGTATGTTTTGGAAGCCCTACCATGACGTGATTGGTTGTAATGCATGATCACGCTATTGTTGAATTGTTGGCAAAATATTTCTCAGGGCTTAGCTCTGCATTGTATGTTGGTTAGGAAGTACTTTGTTTATTTTGTACTTCACACTATAAAATGCCTGCCGGTGATCAAGATTAACCCAAAGTTTCTGTATGATTTAGAACGAATGGGAGAGAAAGAATTGAGAATTGATTGACTGGTGTGTAAATGAAGGTTTAATCATAATTGGCATAAATGTCATGTTTTTATGAAGGAAATGCATCTGGTCAAATGTAATGATCATTCAGTAGATGAGGATATTTTTTATTCTTACTTTTGTGAATTTATGTGGCAACGGCAGTACACAGATTCTAGCTCAGATAATTTTAAACAGATTTTGGATGCTGTTAAGAAATTTTTGGATGCTATGCACTGAAGACACAAAAATTTCTAAATAAGGTAAGTCGACATTTCCTTTTTGTACCGTGTTGATTAGAAAATATGTATTTCCATTTTTATGTTATTTCCTTGTTTTATTTTGATTTAAAATGTAGTTTATTGAGATACAATTTTTTATGTTTTATTGCATTATGTTCTGGATGCCATTTTACTTGGGAGCGTGTTGCATATAAACAGGAATGGCACGTCAAAATAATCGCCATAGAGGATCCTGAAATATATTTTTCCCACATGTTTTCTGTTAGAAAACTTTTGTTACAACTAGATACATATAGTGCATCAGGAAAAACTGATGAGTTTCCGGTTCTTTTCATGTATCAAATATAGTGAGTAATATAGTGTGTATATTAAATATAGGGTGTGCTATATGATATACTGGTTTTCAAAATACTTCAAAATAAAAAGATAAAGTATTTTGAAATCTAATGAATCATTTATAGTAACCCTGTACTTTCTACAAACAAAAAAACATCTACAGGTTACAATCCATTCATTTTTACAAGAATGTTTTCACAAAACATTTTGCTGTTAGGAACTTAATCTCACCATGCAAACTTTTCAAGTTTAATACTGCATTGTTCTGCTATTCAAAATTTGACAATAACACAATTTTTGCTTTTTTGTAGTGTTTTTGTTTACCGAAAACACTACAAAAAAGCATAATAAAGTCATAATAAATTATTAAATGCAGTATTTTAATACTAATAGTAGCTTACGAATCATCCAACCTTTGACCAGCAATGTGAATTCTTAATTTGATATTTTAAAAAACTATTTTTTTCAAGTTGTACATATTTAAATGCACAGTGATTCCCATTGCTGCCAACAGGTTTTTTCCAGCAGTCCTCCCAGCCATCTTTTATATTTTTGAAAGGCCAACCGACCGATGCTACAGGAATACACAAAACATGTTTCCACGCATTTTGTAAGCATGGTGCAGAAACACCTAGTTATATTAATCCCTTCTGATTTCCATTCAGCTTTATAGTATTTATGTTTAATGTTCTAATATCCTTCTAAGACTTGAAATTTACAAAATATGTATACATTGCTTGTAGCTGTTTTAGTACTTCCAGTATTGGGTGAGTAGCTCAATCTATAGATGTAACTTTTGACCCGTGAAGAAAATTAAAGCACAAATAAAAAATTATTTTATGCTAAAAAATACGTAAAAAATTTTCTTGTTTTTTTTTGGTGAAAACAAATTTCTTGTGCAAGTATTGTTTTCATTTTTATTATTATTAATAATTCTTAAAGACTTCAACTTATAATTACCATCTTACTGGTGAGTATTGTTTAAAAGAAACTAACACTCTATGGTTAACACAGAATTTTGCATTTGCATCCTCCAAATAAAAGATACATTTTATATTTCCCTGGTTCTGTTACTATAATCAGACATTGAAGATTTTATATTTCTAGATATTTCAAGAGATATTTAAAATATGATAAGCAATGAAAAATGCAATAATTTAAAACTGATATTATTTAATCATGTTTGTTTATGTTATAAACATAACGATTTATTAGTCTGGCATATAATAATTAATTGGTGGGATCACTTAACTATATTAAAACAAAAACTACATACAAAATATTGATGTTTTTCTTTTCAGTGTCCATTTATAAAAAAGAAAGGAAAATATCTATGAAGAACTGATATAAACTTCAAACATAGAAACATATTGTAGCACCCTCTTAGAATGTTACATTGTTATTAAGTCTAAAAATCACTTCAAATTCCATATTATACAGACAGCAAATTATTTCATCAAATGTAATTCCACAAGAATTGATTAAATGGTAATAAGCCTAGTTGCGTATATAAAAATAAATTTTCAGCTTCTAGGTAGATGGTTTAATTGATATACATTTACAAATCTCTATTTTTTCTCCAGTAAAAATAAAGTACTCACAAATTATACACCAAAAAATTCCTCAAATTATTTATAATCTGTTACATACTTTATAAAATTAAAAGTACAAAAAAAAAATTAAAGGAAATGAAAAAGCAATAATTAACAGCACAGCTGGAGGTAACAAAAATTAACTCAGTTACAGGAAATGTGAATAAAGTTATTTTTGAAAATTTTAGAAAAAAGGTGCATATTTGGTGATTAAAAAAAATTAAATTTCTGTGAAATTCATTTTAATCCCAGGATTATACTCTTAAACTTCTTAAATTATTTTTTTTTATTTCTGATGGAATTTATTATAAGAGTTTAATTTATATGCATACATAATTTACCTCTGATCATTCTTCTGTACTAGAGCAATTCTGCCATAATCCCATGCTCTTTTCCTCAGGAATGTAAAAATTATCAAAATCAGCTAGAAAATAACAGAAAATGTGTTTAAAGAACTATATAAATTCATGATTATTAATTACTGATATTAGTTATCTTATAAATCTTTTAACTGAAAAATTAAGTTTTCAAACTAATTTTAAATGAAAAAAGACTTACCAACCAGGTTACAACATTTATTGTTAAATTATCAGGTATTCCCTCAAATTTCCCTGATAACACCAAAATAGAACGGTTTGATCGTAAAACACTACATTTATATGAATCATTATCAGGAGTGATATCTTCATCTGATATGATTGGATGATGAAAACTTGGGAAGTAATGGATCATACCGCTATTTTCCATATCATGTAGCACCTAAAATAGCAAAGAGATCTAGAATTAATTTAAATTTCTTCCAAATGATAAAGCATATATTGACTCACATGTATAACAGAAAAGTAATTCAATGATCCAACAAATATATATATATATAGGCTGCCTGAAAAGTTAAGACTGTTTCTCTCTTTTCTAGTGCAGATGAGGGAACTTTATATCAGGTTTTGAGAATCGTGTCAGTATGTTTAATCTTGCAAGTGGACAATCACAGCCATAAGCCATGGTTGCATAAATACAGAAAAGCACCTAATTCATTTTGTTGATAAAGATTTCTTCATGAATATAAGGCAGAACTGTGACAGTACCTTCTGTTAAACTTAGGAACAGCCGTAGAAGTTAGGGCATGATATGGTGGTGAAACATTTAGCTCTGTTTCAATGTTTTGAGGTAAAATAATTTCAGAAACAACATAGCCAGAGCTGTAGCTAGGGTTTTTAGTGCCCGGGGACAACCGAATATCTCATTCCTTTCTTATTTACCACGAGTGGAAAACATTTCATTTCAAAAATTCATAACATCAGCTTGGCACCCACTTACAGTAACAGTTACAGTACCAGTTAGTGATAATATTTGAAAGCTTTTTTGACAATTCTGCAGTACACAAAAGTATCAAATGTTACACTATTTTTTTCCTGGGTTTTTTTTTTTTTTTTTTTTCCTTTAAACTATGAAAGAGATGAAAAAATAACTAGTGCTATCGAAATTTGGGTACTCTTCTGTTATCAGGACCAAATTCAGAAATTTATGTATGTGTGCATTATATGCATGAATGTCTATATGTATGTATGAATATACACATATGTATATGCATATACCATTGTGTATATCTATATGCATACATTAAAACTTTTTAACTAAACAATTAGTTAAAAAAATACAAAATAAGCCTTAAACTCACAAAATTGTTTTCAGAATGCTCTTAAAATGCACATACATATTTAAATAATATATTTATCATTAAAATAAATATAAATAATGGAGCACTCATATTAATACTTGGGGGGTCTCCTCAAATATCATGTATGTTCTTTTGTTAATAAAGCAAGATGTCAATTTTCCTTGGATGAATATAATTTTTTTAGTACTACTAAATTTTAGAGAACTCTAAAAATACTAGCAATTTTGACTCAGGGTTGGTTTTAGTAGGACAGGTGATAGGTGACGGAGGATGGGGACGCCTGGTGTTTAACATAGGTAAACAGGTGTGTGTCCCACGCCCTCCCCTATCTAAGAATAACAACTCCCTGGGGCCCAGTGAGGCTGCCTCGGGAGTTTATAATACAAATCTAAAGATCAATACATGGGAAACAGGGGCTGAGGATTATTGTTTGACAATGGTTGCGTGACAATCACTTTGTGGGTGTGCATGGCTGTTGGAATAACACAGATACATAAAAATATACAAAACAAATATAAGAATAGATATGCAGGCAAAAACAAACAAATACTAACAAATACGAACATAAGGATGCATTGATATTAAGATAAATATGAAGAGAGACACATATGTAAGAAAAAAAAAACTAAAATACAGAGTGGGGTAAAGGGAGTCATATGTGTATTGCTGGTATCCTTGTGGTTGTAAATGTGCTGTGAGCACTTAAACACAGAGATGAAGCAATTAGTACCGGATATAGAGTTATGGTGCCAGGAGTTAGTATTAAGAGTTCGCTGAAAGTACAGTCTGCATTATAGATCAAATTTGCAAGAGTTCAGGCTAAACTAAAGTTTAGTGTACACTGTGGTACTAATAGCACTAAATTTGGAGTTTGGCACAGTCACTAAGTTTTAATGCAATTGCTATAGGTTGGTACAGTTGCTACAGCGCAGACACTATGTTAGGCACAGTAATTTCAGTACACAGTCACAATGGTTGCACAGTTACTATGACTGTGAACAAGTTTAAGAGAATTATCTAAGTCACGGTGTAGGTACTGATGTTCACTGATGTGTGCACTTATGTAGTGCTTAGGCATAGTCGGAGTAGGTGCATGATGTATACGTGCGGTGTATCATGCATTGCAATAGGTTGGAAGGTTCTGTAGGCATTCGAAGGCACTTTGAGTTGACACAGTTGGTACTCTGCTAGCACACCGGTAAGGTAAGTTCTAAAGAAGATTGACGTGTGCACATAAAGTTGAAGGCTTGGTGGTGGGGAGCTTTTGTTTAAAAACTTGTGGGGTGGCCCCTGAGTGAAAAGCTTTTGAAAAGGTTGGATAGTCGGTAGGGGGGACGAAAAGATGATCGTGTTTAAAGAGTTGCTGGATGGGTCTTGGTCTATTGCGGTGAGCAGATATCTTGGCCCATTGCCCCGATTTGAGTGATAGCTTTGCAGATTTTGGTTATGGCTGGCTTGTTTGTGAGTGATAAAGCGGTGGTACGCATCTCTGTTCATGGTTGGACATGGGAGGTGATGGTCTTTTGTCAGCTGGCAGGTGAAAAGATAGTGGTCTGGGTTGCCTGGGGCTCCACAGACGCATATATCTGTTGATGAGATGTTGTGCCTTTGGAAGTAGCTGGGGAATGGGCCGTGTCCCGTGATATATCGTGTCAGCGGAGCGATTGCGATGTGTCGATCCGTGCTGACTTTTGGGAAGAAATCGTAGGTGCGGCGGCCAGTTGTGCTATGGTTCCATTCCTCCTGCCATTGTTGGAGCCCTTTACTCCGGAGCTGTCCCTTTAGGTAGGAAGGTGGGGCTTGAAGGTGGATCTGCTGTGCATTTGAGTCGGTTACTGCCTGATTGGCTAAACGGTCTGCTGACTCATTGCCTTCTTCGTTGTTGGCATGTGCTTTTATCCACATCAGCCTCGTGTGCATATGTGTATGTGAATGTTGCTGCAAGAGGTGCTGAAGGGCGATGACTAATAGGAAGTGTGCTGATGGTTCTGGAGGGCTTGAAGTGTTGAGTAGCTGTCTGTATGAAGTGTGGCATGAGTTAGATCATTATGGACAATGTGCTGCATTGCTGCTGTGATGGCCAGGACCTCCGCTTGGAAGATGCTATTGTGATTTTGCAAACAACCTTTCCATTCTTGTTCTATCAGGCCATCCTGGTAGTGGATGTAGGCACTGCCTACACCTTCCTCCTGTTTAGAACCATCTGCAAAGATGTGGGTACCTTGTGAAGGTACTTGCATTCCAGTGTTGGTAGGGGTGCGTGGGATGATGCCAGAAATTCCTTTGCCTTTAATTGCCGGGTGTGTGTGGAGAGGGTGTCCAGGTGTTTCAAACTGGACTGGGCTGTAGGTGCTATTGTAGAATGTGACGTCTTTTCTTAAGTATACTAGAGTTGTATATGCCGCTTCCATTTCTACTTTGATGTGGAGAGGCAGCAACCCCGCAAGGACAGTCACCGCACTTGTTGCAGTTGTGCGAAAGGCTTTCGTGAGGTTGAGGGCGAAAGGGCGTTGGACGGTAGTCAGTAATTTGATTTTACGAGCGCCCATTGGTTGGGCTCAGGCAGCGGCAGCGTACGTGACGATCTTCTCTGCCCCAGTGTGATATAGGATCTTCTGTATAGAATGGTTCTGCTCCCAATTTTGCCCTTGAAAGTTGCGTGCCTTCCTTGCAATGGTGATAGTCTTCTTATGTGTTGAATGTGGTGAGTCCTTGATCCCAGAGAAAACCTAGATGTTTAAGAGTTGAGACTATCTTGATGTTTTGATTGTGCAATTTGATACAAGGGCGGCGTGATGGATTTGTACCTGCCCTAGGGATGACAAGGGCCATGGATTTCTCAGTGGAAATTTTGAGTTTTAATGCAGTGCACATGTTTTCGAATATGGTACATGTTGCAGTCCCATTTCTTTCTAATTCCTTCTGTGTGCGTCCCTTGACCAGCAGAGCGACGTCGTCTGCGTAAGCAACAACTGTAGTATGCTGTGGCCAGTCAGCTTCCAGCACAGAATTGAAAGTTAGGTTCCAGAGAACCGGTCCGGCGCAGGAGCCCTGGGGGCATCCTCGCTCCTGGCTTTTGGTGGTTGTGCCGTTGTCGTTGGAAATTAAAAAGCTTCGGTTCTCCAAATAGCTATTAAAGGTGTTAAAGATATTTGCTGGGCAGCGTGCTATTCTGAGGGCTTGTTTTATAGCAGGCCACCAGAGGGTGTCGAACGCGCTCTGCAGGTCGATGGAGATGAAGGCCGTATGATATCCCGTAGCTCTGTTGCGTTGTATAGTGTCCCGGATAGTACAGAGAGCATGTGTGGTGGAGAGACGTGGTCGGAATCCGAACTGTCTTGAGCTGAGGAAATTGGTCACGTGCAGGTGATAGGACAGCCGTTGGACAAGTAGTTTTTCATAAATCTTACCCATTGCGGATAAAAGGCAGATGGGTCGATAAGAGCGCAAATCTTGTGCGCTTTTATTTTTCTTTAAGAAGAGAACTACTTGTCCTTGTTTGAAGGCCTGTGGAAAAATTTGTAGATGAAGAAGTCTATTGAAGAAGGTGCTGAAGAATGATGGACATGCATTGTAGGCCACCTTGATGATAGCATAGTCGAGGCCGTCTGGGCCTGGTGCCTTTTTGCGCGGGAGGAGTTTGAAGACGTGTCTAATCTCACTGCTACTGAAGGGAATATCATACGAGGTGGTGGGAGTGCTTGCATTTTCGCGGATGATACGCTGTGAGGGCGTGTCCTCCTCTGGGTTGTCATCAGGGAATATAGTGCTCAGGATTGTGCTGGCAGTGTGTTCCACTATGTTGGTATTATCGGCCAGTGCTGGAGTCTGGATATGGATCTGTGCCGGGCGAAAGACTTTGCCGGTGGTAAGTTTGTGGAGGATGCCATATGGGTTATTATTAGCTGTACAATAGTTCCTCCAACTAGTAATTTTGGCTGTTAGAATATTATTTTTGTAAAGGGCTCTCTCTTTCCTGTATGCCAGCAAAATTTGTTGTCTGATGCTGTTGTCTGCAGTGCGGATGCGACGTCTAAGGGCTCTGCATTTTTGTCGCTGTGTGCGAAGCTCCTTGGTCCAC